CGGGGGGGGGCGGGGGCGGGCGGGCGGGGGGGGGGCGGGGGGGGGGGGGGGGGGGGGGGGGGCGACAGCGATACGCGTTGCACCGCCGACGCCAGGATGTGACGCCACGCATTGCTCTGGCAACGGGACTCCAAACAGCCCTGTTGCCAGAGCGATGCGTAGCGTCACATCCTGGCAACGGCGGTGCAATGCGTATCGCTGCCCCCCGCAGTAGGGATTCTGTGAAGATGTGCGGATTCCGCGCCGCGGCTTGGCAGCCCTAACCTTGCCCTCCCTACCAAGGAAGGCAGATGCTCGGGAGAGGCCCAGCCCCAGGAAGCTCTTAAGCGAGAAGATAACTATCCCCTGACGCAAGAGGACAATCAGAAGTAGACTGCCTTTGAATATGGAGGCTCCATAGATACCTTTCACCATGAAGGGCTACACAGACGCAGGTCAGAGGTGGAAAGGACCACCGAGTTACAGCCCCGTAGGGTTTTCAAGGCAAAAAGCTGTTCGAAGGTGGCTTTGCCACTGCTGCCTTTGCGTGGTGACCCTGCAATTCCCTTGGAGGTCTCCCACCCAATTACTAACCAGGGCCGACCCTGCTTAGCCTCCAAGATCTGACAAGACTGGGCCACCCTGGGCCATCCAGGTCAGGGCAAGAAGCAAACAGGAGTGTTTTGCCTTTGCCTGCCTCTACGCAGCGACCCTCGACTTTATCGGTGTCCTCCTATCCAAGCACTAACCAGAGCTGACCTGGCTCAGCTTCTGAGACCGAATGAGATTAGTTTAGCCAAGGCCATAAATTCAAGAGCCCCGCAGGGTAGGTGAAGTCGCAGGGTAGCCACTGGCCAACCGTGCTGGATAAGAACTTGAACCTGGGTTTCTCCTCCTGCCCAACCAGAAGAGATTGGATTTATACCCCACCCTTCAATACCGGAAGGACTCTCAGAGCCCCATACAATCCCCTTCTCTTCCCCTCCCCATGACAGGCACCCTGTGAGGTAGGCGGGGCTAAGAGAGCGCCTTCAAGGACTGCTCTGAAAGAACTTGTGACTGACCCAAGGCAACCCAGCGGGCTGCATGTGGAGGAGGAGGAGTGGGGAATCAAACCCGGTTCTCTCAGATTGGAGTCTGTGCTCCTAACCACAGCCCCAAACGGACTCTCCTAAGTCCTAGCCCCGTCCTCGAGAGCCACTCCTTCTTTGCGCACAGAGAGACAAACTCACTTGCGCATCATGTCCTGGACGCCTTGCTTGACCTTGGCAAAGGTCACTGTCTCCGAGCGGTTGAAAAGCATCCCGACGATGGTTTCCATGCTAAGGGAAAGGAGTTTGTGAGCCGCTCTGAGACTCCTCTGGGTAGTGAAGGGTGGGGTATAAATCCAATCTCTTCTTTCTTCTCTCTTCTTCTTCTCTCAGATTAGAGTCTGTGCCCCTAACCACAGCCCCAAACGGGCTCTCCTAAGTCCTAGCCCCACCCTCGAGAGCCTGACGGCCGTCAGACCACTCCTTCTTTGCGCACAAAGAGACAAACTCACTTCCGCATCATGTCCTGGACGCCTTGCTTGACCTTGGCAAAGGTCACTGTCTCCGAGCGGTTGAAAAGCATCCCGACGATGGTTTCCATGCTGCGGAACATCTCGGCCAGCAGCCTGTACTTGTAGGGCAGCGTGAGCCCGGGGGGCACGTCCTGCGCAAGGGTGTGGAATCGCTGGTAGGCCGGCACCTTCTCACTGGGGAAAAAGTGCAAGGGCGGACAGGAAGATCGCGGGTGAGGTTCGGCGGGAAGGTGAGCAAATACTGGCAGAAGGCCTCCACGGAAACCGGCAATGAGAAGTAACTCACGCTATGCCCAGTAAAAGCCTGATTTTTAACAGTTCCCCCCCCCCCAAATAATCAATGCAATCAATATGTCTGTAGTCGCTCTGCAGGAAATGCAGCTCTTTTGCAGGCCTGCTAGAGGCATTCCCGGCCCTGCATCGGATTCTGCTAGTTAATGGAGGCCCATGTAGAAAACCCACGAGCCGCCCTCACCTTTCACCAGCCAGTCTCTTCTCCACAGAACTTGTTTTCTCACCTGCCCTCTGCTTCTGGCTTAGGATCCTGCGTGGCCAACGGGAGCTGGGAGAGGCGGTCCTTTTCCTCCTCCGCCGTTTTCCTGGCGCAGATCTTGGTCTCCAGTAGCCGTGCCCGTTGCAACCTGCTCTTTACGTCTCCCTTGGCTTCGGAGGTACCGGCCGGTACTTGGCCTTTCTGGGTCAGCTTCTCCAGCCGGCATCTCAGCTGTGCGAGGGTCTCTCTGGCCAGGTCCTGTTTGGGCAAAGAGAGCGGGAAGGTCACAGTGCAGCTTCCGTTAGGAACGTCACCACCTTCTGCTATTCGCGGGTGATTAATTGTGCCCCATTTCAGAAAACCAGGAGAAACTCAGCCCAGAAGGAGAGCAGAAATCCTCCGTGTGGAAGGTGGCACCAGGCCCGTCTCCAGCGAATGGAGAAGCCTGAACCCAAAGCCAGGAAAAACTCTATGGCCAGCCCTCCCTAAGCCTCACCACTCCCCATGCAAGCTTTTGAGACATTAGTTTTCCATTTGCTCTCGGAAAGGAAGGAGTATTACGGATGCTACCTACTCGGGGTGGTGTATTCCCCCACCCACATTCTCTACAAGTTATCTGATGTTTTTGTGAATTGTTTTTGCTGGGTGCAATTTGCTGGGAGATGGGGTACAATTGGGAAAAAAATAACTATTCCACATGCTCTAAGGAGGTTTTTGTAGGCCACCCTGCCCCCTGGGGGGGCTGAAACTTTCTTGGGTGGAATTGGGGGGGGGGGGAGGGCGCTGAATACAAATATGGCGGCGCGCATAGACGCAGCGGCTTTGTGCTCTCTCTTTCGGTGTTTTGTATGGCTGTTTTTGTTTGAGTTACTACCTTGGTGGTTTAAGTTGCAATGTGAACCTTAAGGGAGTTATGGGATGGTTGTGAATGGTTGTGTGAGTGTATATGAGTATGGTTGTAGATCACGGAAATGATTGCATCTTTAATTTCGTTGTACTATGTACAATGACAATAAAGTATATTATTATTATTATTATTAAATAAGGGGACGGCGGAAGCGTAAAGAAAGAAGAGTCCAGAGCCTATCTAAAGCAGCCTTTTGGCGGTAGGCCAAATAAGTTTGGGAAACGATGCTTCAGACCAACACAGTGACCCATCTGAACCTATTTGTTAGCTGTGTAAGGCACAGGAAGGGGACGAAACCCCCCCACCCCACTTCTCCATCATATTAGCAGTGGGGTATTCTCCTCTTTTAGGAAGTCCTGGCTGGAAGCAAGGCCTGACCCTGACACAGGGTTGCCAATCTCCAGGTGGTGCCTGGAGGTCTCCTATTACAATTGACCTCCATGTCACCAAGACCACCTCCCCTGGAAGAAACAGCTGCTCTGGAGGGTGGGCATTATATGCAGTTAAGGTCCCTCCCCAGAACTGGCAACCCTAGGACACAAAGAGTGCCAGGGCCCCTCCAGCGTGTTGAAGCCTGTGCCAGAACCCGGTGGTGCCACTGGCACTGCCCACCCTGCCCCCGTTTACCTTCTCTGGCTGGGCCCCCCTCTCCTGCTTCTGGCCCGGTGAGAGGATCACGTTGACCAGCTCCTTCGCCTTCTTGTCCAGGCTGGAGGGGGTGGGGGAAGAGGGGCTGCTGGGGGCCTGCAAGGGAAGCGCCGCTTGTCAGTCTGCAGCCCGCCCTGGGCTTGTCTGCAAGGTCGAGACCCGGCTTGGCTGGGGTCGAGACACGTTCACAGAGAAGGGGGAGCCATTCGGTCAAAATGCTTAATCGGAACATCCCTATTCAGGGGCAGTCTACCCCTGGCTCCCAAGACACTAGAAGCAAACGGGGGCGGCGGAGTTCTCCAGAAGCCTATAAGGGGCCTGGCCAGGTCCAGCAGGGTCCTGCTCTCTCCGGGCCGGCGGCCTAATCAGCCCCTCGCCACATAAGGCGGCCGGCCGGGGGTCACAAGCAATGTTCCCTCTAAGTTATGGAGTCCTGTGAGCAAAAATTCTACTCTGTGAGCTCCTGGCATGAAAGTTGTGAGCCAGCCATTTGGCAGCTGCATCAATTAGTTTGCTCTGGAGCCCTCCTTCCTGAGCGAAGGCAAAAATGTGTGAGCCGGAGGCTAAAAAACTGCGAGCTGGCTCACACTCACTCAGCTTAGAGGGAACACTGCTCTGGAGCCCTCCTTCCTGAGCGAAGGCA